CAGCGCGCCGCCCTGCCCCGGACGGCTCGGCCCGCACTTCCCGGCGGGCGCGACCCCAGCCTCCCGGACCCCGGAAGCGACCCCGGAAGCACCCCGCGCGTGTCGCCGCACGTGCGCCCCAATCCCCGGAAGTGCTCGCCTCTCCCCCACCGGCTGGAAACCAGGCCCTCGCCTCAGGTTCCGCACGACCGGGAGCAAGGCGGGGCTCTTCGTCCGCATGGGAAAAGGGCCGACACCTCAGCGAGCGGCGTCCGGGGTCGGCGACCTAGGGCCGGGTTGGGGTAAGCCCGGGATCTCACCGAGATGCTAAAGCGGGGTGAGAAACGTAGGCGCCGGAAGGGGACTGGGGGGCCGCTGTCGGTGTAGCACCGCGGCTGGGCCGGCAGAGCGCGGGGCGCCGGTGGCCGCAAGGGGGCGCTGGGCGGCCGGGCCTGGAAGGGCCGGGGCCACTCCTATCCCACCGTCCTCACCTTCAGCCTCGCCTGGGTGTCTTCCTCATGCGGGGGGAAACTGAGGCCCAGGGGCGGGGAGGAGGACCCCAGGTAGCACAGCCTGGTTTGCCAGGGCGTGGGCTGCAGAGGCACTTCAGCGATACCCGATGATGATACTAAAGCATCCTAATAATTGTTGTATAGTATGGTAACAACAGCTGTGGACAGGTTTTGGGACGCCTCTCTCTGGTCTAACGGGCGCATCTAGCAAGCACCCTGCGTGGGCTTTAAGTCAGTACAATAAAGTCCGTGCTGTCCTGTGAAGCCGCCGTGCAGGCCATCTTCAGCCGGCGTCAAATGACCTTGAACCCCACACCTCATGACCAAAGACACCAGCTGGACAGACCCACAGCGGGAAAGATAAAGGGTACCTCGCTCTCACGTCCCCAGCTGTGTTTCTTAGAGATGGAGGGAATAATCACGACCCTGGTCCTGGCCTCCCTCCACACATGGATAAGGTCAGCATCTCCCAACTTGTTTGATGTACAAACAAGGAGTTCTTGTTTATGTCACCTTCACCATAAATCTAGAGAAAAGCCCAGATGTACTCCACCCTTTATTTTTCTTGACATATGTGAAATCTAGCTGTAAGTTGTTTTTCTTCTCCTCTTCCCTGCACATGCACTGTTTGTGAAAGAGACGTACGCTCACACCCCTTGGAGCAGTCCCATCAGAGCATCTGCTGAGCTGTTTCCCCGGGTTTGAGCTCCTCACGCTGATTATTGAATAAAGTCCTCCACTAATGTCACCTAGGCTCTTGATTTCAGTCGACACAACAATAATAATAAATTGCTAGCACACCACACCTGGCCCTGACAGTACCTCGATAAACCACAGAGAGGAGGCCTCCACTTCCCTAAGTCTTCCATCTGAGAGTCTGTGTGTGTGTGGGTGTGGGGGCTTCAGAGAAAGACAGATAACACGCCAACAACACAATTATGATAGCAGTAACTGCCATGAAGATGATAAAATGGGATGTGGTGGTAGAGACTGGTGACGAGGTATCGAGGGGTAAGGTTACCAAACAAAATGCAGGATACCCAGAGAAATAGGAATTTCAGATACAGAATAATTTTTAAATTTTTTTTTTTTTTTTTTTTTTTTTAAAATTTTTTTTATTTTATTTTTCCCCCCAAAGCCCCAGTGGATAGTTGTATGTCGTAGCTGCACATCCTTCTAGTTGCTGTATGTGGGACTCGGCCTCAGGATGAACGGAGAAGTGGTGCCTCGATGCGCACCCGGGATCCGAACCCGGGCCACCAGCATCGCAGCGCGCGCACTTAACCACCAAGCCACAGGGCCGGCCCAGAATAATTTTTAATATAAATAAATATGCCCTGTGCAATAGTTGTAGTATTGGGGGCATATTTATACAAAAAATATTGTTTTTTATCTGAAATTCAAATTTAACTAGGTATCCTGATTTTTATTTTCTAAACGTGGCAACCCTGCCTGGAGGGGCCACTTAGATGGGGTCATGAGCGAAGGCCTCTTGGAGAGGAGACACTTAAGCTGAAACTTGAATGTGACGATCAAGGCTCAGAGGGAACAGCAAAGCATTTGACGTATTTGAGGAATGGGAAAAGGCTGGTGTGGCTAAAGCTCTGTAAGCAAAGGGAAGGCAGTTAGAGAGGCAGGCAGAGGGATGGGCAGGGGCCAGATATGGATTACAGAGCCTTGGGGGCTACAGGAAGGACTTTGGACATTTTATTCTAAGGGCAAAGGGGAGCCATCGATTATTATTATTTTGTGTGTGTGTGAGGAAGATTAGACCTGAGCTAACATCTTTGCCAACCCTCCTCTTTTTGCTGAGGAGGAGGTTATAATCCTGTGCTAATATCTGTGCCCATCTTCCTCCACTTTATGTGGGACACCGCCACAGCATGGCTTGACAAGCGGTGCGTTGGTCCACACCCGGGGTGGGAACCCCAGGCTGCCAAAGTGGAGTGCGTGCACTTAACCACTGTGCCACCGGGCCGGCCCTGCCATCGATTATTTTAAAGCTGGGGAGTGATGCAGTCTGACTTGAGTTTTTTAAAGATCACTGTCCCTCTGTGTGAGAAATGGGATGGGGAGGGAAGTGAGGGAGGAAGCGGGGAGACCAGTTAGGAGCTGGTCACAGATGCCCAGGCCAGCAATGGTGCAGCTGGATTAGGGCAGTTTGTCCGTTTGGGTCGCCAGAAAGCAGTCACAGAGTCGGAATTAGGCATGCACAACCTGTGCTGGGTGGAATGCCTATGAAAGATAATGGGGAATCCCAGACCCCATGCAGCGCTGACACCTGTGCGAGCAAAGTGGATTGGCCCTGAATGGATGGATAGGTGCGTCCTTCCTGATAACAGAGGATGGACGAGAAGGGGGCAGGTGGGGAACCAACAGCCATCCCCACGCTAGCCATCAGCTGAGTTGGGGGGAGGCGTCCTGGAGGTGTGAGGGAGTGGGAAATAGTGCTTTGGAGAGTGTGACTGAGAACGTTCCAGGAGGTGGAGTGGACTGCCAGGTGGCCTGTGATGCTGAGTGCAGCATGGTGCCACCAGCCTGGTTCTTTGACTCTGTCCAGCCGGTGCAGGCACAGAAGAGGTGATAGCTGAGTGGGAGGGGATGAGGCAGAGGAGTGTTTGCCAGGGAGTGAGGGTGGTGGGGGCCTGGAGTCTGCAGTGAGTGGGGAGGGGAATGAGGACAGGAGAGTGGGGACAGGTTATAGAAAACAGAGGTGTCAGGAGAGGAGAGCAGGTTGTCTGAGGCCGGAATGGTGGTGCCTTTGGTGCAGCCTCTCATTAGTCAGGGGAGAGCCAGCCCTCAGTCGCAGCATTCAGCATGAATCCACAGCTCCAGATCCCTAGTCTGGTGCTCCCTCCTCCAGACTGGGCTACTTGGCCCAGCCCCATCCCAGGATGCAGGATCCAGTGGGGGTGCTCTGAACCAAGGACCAGCCCAGTGCAAGGCCCAGGTTGCAGCAGGAGGAGCCTGCAGGCCACCCACCCCCACGGCCCTAGCTCTGGGAGGAAGCTCGCAAGAGTAAACATAGCCTGATCATCCCACCCACCCAGCAGGGTCTGTCACATTCCACACCAACTAGATTTCCAGTCACCACGGCTCTTTTCCCTCTGCCAGCTGGCTTTCCTGAGGATGAGCGAGCTTAAGCCCTGGGGACGATGCATACGGGGAATTCTCACTTCTGCCTTCCTTCTCCTGGGCTGCTGGGGGCTCTCCGATTTCCAGCCGGTGGGTGAATCTACACGAGCCGGTGTCAGGGACCTGGGGTGGGAATCTGAGCTCTTCTGGGTGCTGACGGCAGGTTCTCTGGGAGAGAGGGGGTGCCAAACAGCCCTTGGGCAGAGTGGGGGTGTTCTTTTGGCTTCCAGATTTGCACTGGGCAGAGGAGTCTGAGCTGGGGTTCAGGGGATGAAGTGTGCTCACTGAAGAAGGCATTGGCCTCTCAGTCCTGCCCACTCATCTGGTGAAGCACAGACACTGTCTAACCCGTGTGGTGTCTCTGCCTCTCCATCCTCCATTTCTGTTCCCCTCCCTCCTTGCCCCTCTCCCACCTCCCTTCTCCCCCATCCTCCTCTCTCCTCACTTGTCCTGTCTCGCAGATTTTTCTCCAGGCTTTGGAACCAGAGGAAGGGACTTCTTACTTTGGCCCTGACGCTACCTTAAAAGGTACTTGTCCTGGAGCCTTCTGAGCGGGGGAATTTCTCGAGCCGGTGGGGGGATCTCACCGTTGAGTCAGGGCCTGGGACTTTGGTGGCTCTGCTGGGAGGAGTCAGAGCGGCTGCCGTCACCCCTGTTAATTAACTCCGTTACTTCCTGCCGAGTTGATAAAATCTGGTCTGGGTGTTCTGGACGGAGCTGGGGTTCTGACCCCGGGATTCTGCTCTGTATTTCAAGGGAATGGTTACTAATTAGCTGGGCCTTCTGCCCCTGGGCCTCCCTTGGGCTGACTGATTCTCAGGGGCTCTTGTGGTTTCTGGCCTGCGTGTAAATATTTATTTCTTCTGTGAGAAGCAAGATAGGCGCTGGGTCAAGCTCCAGCCAAAGCCGTTTCCCCATCGCTCGGGGACCACGTCTGTGGACTTCTCCAGGGTGCCGGCCCCTTTCCAAGCAGGGCCATTGGTGACTTTGATCAAAAAGCTGGTGGGGACCAGAGGCAGGGCAGGCTAGGGGTCAGGGTGGAGAAAATTAGGGGATGTCCCACTTGTGACTGACTTCTCTGTGGTCTGGGTCAGATGCACACCGACCAGTGCCTGGGGCCATGCTCAGGGGCCAGGGGGACCGTGCTGGGGGGCCTGGGGCCGTGCTTGGTGTCCAGGGGCACCGTGCTGGGGGTCCAGGGGACCGTGCTGGGGGGCCTGGGGCTGACCCTGGGGAATGGAGGCCGAGAACTTGTGTATCACATACCCCAGGTCCCTTTAGCTCTGCCCTTCCTGGAGGGCTAGGAGACCATTGCTCGGGGTCCCTGAACCCTCTGGAGCTACCTTGGGGTGAGGGAGATGGGTGGAGAAGGACGGTGAGGCTGGCCTTGGGCTGCTGCTTTCCACAGAGGCTGCTCATGTACCCGCTTTGCCTGTCGGGGCTCGTGACATCACTCATGAAATACGTTCCGAGGCGAGGCTGCTGTGCCGGGCACTGGTCCGGCCCCCAGGCGAGACCCAGATTGGAGAGGCAACTTGCCATCCACCACCCTGAGAGCTGGGAGGAGCTGGACTGGAACCCAGGCCCCCGGGATTCCCACTAACGCTCACCAAAGGGAACAACTTCAGGCCCCTCCCCAGGCAGGAGGACCTGGAGGGCCGAGTGGGGCTGAGTGAGGCGGCCTACTGTCTCCTGCAGTGCCCCGATTTGACGTGGCCCCGTTCACGTGCATGTGTGAGGACGGGCTCTGGGGGCCACCCTGCAGGGCCCCTCGCTGCTCCCTGAGCGTCCTGGGACAGCTCTTCACCTTCTCTTTCCGGCCCGAGCTGGGCGTCCTCGCTGCCTCCTTCAGCAGTGAGCTCATGGTGAATGCCTCCCTCAGGCTGCTGGGAGGCCACCCCACCACTGCTTCACAGGAGGCCGCGCCTGGCTGCCCCCAGGTGCAGCGGCCAGGGCCACATACTGCTCGGGCCACTTGGTGAGTGGGCGCTCAGGCCAGCAACAGGGAGAGGTTGTGCTGGGGGTGTGGCTAGTGGGACCCCATGGTGTGGAGATGTCCCCCAGCCCCCTGCCACACAGCCAGATGTGTAGATCTTTGCCTAAAGTCAGATCCTGTGGGGCTGTGTTCCACGGAGGCTCAGAAAATCCTGCTAGCAGGTGGCAGAGCCAGGTACAGACCCGGAGGACAGGGAATGAGAAGAAAGAGGGCTTCACAGTCAGACCGCTGAGCTCAGACTCCAGCTCTGTCACTTAGCTCAGACGACCTCGGGCCAGTCGCTCGACCGGGTCTCAGTGTCTTCAACCGAGAAACCGTGAAGACAGCACGGGCCTCTTGGGTTATTGTGAGGACTGGTGTCACGTGTCCATGCAAAGTTTGTCACAATGCGTCACTCAACAAGCCAGAGCCATTTATATCATTACGCACGACACACAACACCCCACCTGGTTCCTGGGTTGGGAGGCCCAGCCTGGGCCAGGACAGATGCCACTCAGGGTGGATCTGGTGACCGGCAGTGCTGTTCATTAGCACAGGTCTAGCTAGTCCCCAGAGACCCCCTCCATTCTCGTACACATGGGACTTTACCAGGCCCTGCAGACTGGGGCCTGAAGGCCGTGTGCATGGGGGGGATTGGAATGTGGGCAGTAGGGGGGCTGGCAGCAGGTGGTGGGCAGTGAGCGCAGCCCCGGAAGGGTGTGGGTTCCTCTCTGTCCAGCAGAGATGGGCTCATGGATCCCGGACTTGGGGAGGAGCCCTTGGAGAGTGCTTAGGGCAAGCCCATGTCTGGCGCCGTGACGGCCCAGAGAGGCCCTCTCCTGCAGCGGGGAGTGGGCTATGTGTGCCAGCCTGCTCTCTCTTCTCCAGGAGGGCGACATCCTGGTGGGTGCAGACAGGCTCTGTGTCCAGCCAGTGAGGAGGCAGCACGGGGAGCTGGTGCCTCCCTGGGGCAGGCCCAGCCCCATCTGATCCACAGGCCCGCCCCTGCGGCCCCCATGGTCCCAGGGGTCCTCCAAGATACAGCTCCCGGGGGAGGGAGGGTGGGCCGCCATCAGGGACAGCTCTGGGGGAGGGACCAGCTCTCCCTGCTGCCCTGGTGCTGTGCAAATGGAGCCATCTTCTTTAGGATGCAGGGGAGTGCCTAGCTTACTGGACAGGCCAGGGGAGCATGTGGCCGTCAACCGTACCCCCAGACTGTCTGCTAGGTGGACAGGTAGACCTCCCACCTGTGAACAGCCCTTCACAGTTTACGAAGCACGTTCACAGGCGGGTGCTGCTGAAGTCTGTGCCAGGCAGGGCAGTGGTGAGTGACTTTCCCAGGCTGCAGATGGGAACCCAGAGGCCCAAGAGGCTTACACGGGTGCAAGTAGGCAGTGTCTTGGGCTTTACTTGCCATCTTGGGGTGACCCCATTCTACAGCGTGTGCCCAGAGGGCCGTCTGGGGGGCAGAGCAGGCGCTTGGGGCTTTGAGGTGACCCGAAGACATAAAAGCCACACAACAGCTCCCTCCTCGGCCTCATGCTGCCTTCTGGCCCTTTCCCATGCCCTGAAATGCCCCATCACTAAGGGGACCCGGGCCCTTGGGGTGGGGTGAAATGAAATGTCTTGACTTGAGAAGGTCATTCTGCCGAGACCTGCCGCCTCTCCCGGTAGCTGGCCAGCCGCTGTCGGTTCTAACAGTCACAACATAAAGTGACCTGCGAGAGCGAGACCTTTCCACCCTCTGGGCGCGCTTATTCCTGAGGAGTTGAGACGACCAAAGTATCTTAAGTCAGTGCATGGATGTCTGAGGGAGCGGACACCTTGGGCACTGAGAGGCTAGCTCCAGGAGGGCAGGGAGGTGCTGTGAGAGGAGGCCACAGAGCAGGGTCTACTAGAGCCCACAGCCCCGGGCAGGCCTGCTCACCCAGCCCTCCCAGTGGGAAAGCTGAGGATCAAGCCCACCAACTCCCTACACCCCATAGTGGTAAAGGGCAGAGACGCGCCTCCCACTGTGTCTCCAAGCCCAGGAGCAAGGGTGATGGAGGGGCCTGGCCCTTGGGCCATGGGGGCCATAGGGATGGCTGACCAGGTGGCCAAGGCCATGTTTCATCTGTTTTCTAGAACCTTCCCTCTCAGCCCTGCCTCCTCCCTTGCCAGGCCGTCTTCCTTCCCGTCGCCTCCAGAGAGGGGCTGCCGGGAGCGTCCTGCACCTGGAGCTGCTGGTGGCTGTGGGCCCCGACGTCTACCAGGCCCACCAGGAGGACACGGAGCGCTATGTGCTCACCAACCTCAACATGGTGAGTGCTCGCGTGGGGCGCTGACTCCATGGACGGACGGCGCTGGCCGCAGGGAGTGGGACTCAGGGATCCAGTGGGGCAGTGACTGTCCTCGGGAGCCTCTGGACATGTGCCCCACATGCGGGGCTTGTGGCAAAACGGCAGTGGGCTGGCTTATCTGGTAGTTTGAACTCAGTGGGTTGAGCTTGGGTGTAAACCTGAGGCTGGGGTCGCGCGTGGGGCTCGGGGCCCTGGAGTGGGGGAGGCATGGTCTGCTCTTTCCTTCCTCCTCCCACTCCCTCGCCTGGAGTGGAGGCGGGTGAGGACCGGGAACCCCTCTCCACTCCCTAGTGCACCCCACGGTCTCTTGCTACTTGGGTCCCTTCACCCAGGGGACCCTCAAGCCTGGCCTCTGCCCCAGTGTCCATTCGACCCATGGGAACCTCGGCCAGCACTGCCTGGCACCCAGCGAGTGTGGCTGCCCCACCCTGGCCTCTCTCAAGTCCCTTCTTGCAGGCACCCCATCTCTGCGGGCCTCCCCTCCACCCAGCCTCCGGGGTAAAGGTTGGGCAGGACGCAGGACTGCACTAATCATTATCTCAGAGAGACAAGGAAACAGGTGTTGCAACAACCTCACGATCACGTGTAATCTCATGGACTGTATGAAACCCTGTGCCCAAGCTCTAGAGACTTCACTAATGAGACGCACACAATAAATGACTGTGCTCTAGGCTGCCAGGTAGGTCTCCACAATGTAAGGGGATTGATGCCACAAGCTCACCATCACCAGCCACAGTGCAGCAAAGTCAGACATGATAAGAAGAAACGTACACAATTCAGACACTGACGATTTTTAAAAAAATTCTGACTAAAGGGATCTTAGGAACATTTAGGAAATTAGTCTCAGCAGATGACTGACAACCCAGGCCCCTTCCCCCACCCCTTGGTCCCCTGCAGAGATGGGAAGGGGACTTGAGGAGGTGCTGGCCATGGCAGGGCAGCCACTGCCCGCCTTGTAAGTTGGCCCTGGAGGGCAGGCAGCCCCCCTAGAATGTGGGGTACTGGGAACCACTTGGTCCCCAGCCGCAGGTGTGCCCCACCTATTTTGGACAAAAGGAAAAGTTCCACGAGTCTTGAACCCTAGGCCCTCTGTCCCCTCCCTGTCCCCTCCCTGTCCCCATGTGTTGTCTGGGCCTCCCACCCGGCAGGGAGTCTGGGTCCCAGGGCCACACCCATGTGGTCCTGCCCCCTTGCAGACCTGGTCCAGGTCCAGAACAAGCCTGCTTAGGCTTTCTGCCTGCAGGCGTGGAGGTGACAAAAACTCCCTCTAAGTCACTTGACAGCTATTGTTTTCAAGCTTTGGGGGTCTCCCCACTTTTAACATGCCGAAATTTAGTCATCAGGCCATGCTCCCTCTGGTCATTCGGCCTGTTTTACGAGGACTGAGGATGGCTGGGGGCAGGGTAGATGCCAGACTGGCTCCTGCCCAGATGGTGCCGGTCCTGGTAATGGCCGCTGTCATCATTGGACACCCACCTCGGGCCAGCTGCATTGTTCCTAAGACCACCAATAGCTACAGAAGGCTTTATCTCCATTTTACAGATGAGGAAACTAACTAAACCAAGGTTAGTGAACAGGATCCTAAGCATGTAGTTGGAAGTGGCAGAGCCTGGATCAGCCTCGGGTCAGCTGAGGGCAGCGATGAGCCGTGTTTTCTCTCGGGTGCCACGTCCCACTTAGAGGACAAGCTGGTGCAAACAACTGCAGAACAAATTGACCACGATGGGCATATTGACAAATGTATGGAGAGAGCCGGGAGCCTGGCGGGGCGGCCTTCTCATTGAGGTGCCCAGGAAAGGGCTCGTGGAGGAGGGGAGCCCTCATGCCCCCTCACAGAGATGGGCAGGTTAAGCAAGCAGAGGTGGAGAGAAAGGTGTTGTAGGCAGATCAACAGAGATGAGAAAGGGCAGGGTGATTCCACTCTGAGAGAAGCAGTGTTTGAATAGAATGTTCTAGACTAATGACAATTATCCACATCCCCTGGTTTCAGGGTTTCTCTTCTTTGTGGTGGTTGGCCTTCCTGAGCCACGAGCAGCGGGGGACCAGAGCAGATTTGACGATCTCTATGGCTGGCTCCCAGCACAAGGACGAGCACTTTGGGGGTCCCCCATGCTGACGGAACATCCTTTCCAGGCTTCCCCTCCAGGCCCCTGGAAGTCAGCAGCTGCTGGGGGCTGGCCACACCCATCCACATGTGTCACCTTCCCTGCTTGCCCTTCCACAGGGATCAGAACTGCTGAGGGACCCATCCCTGGGGGCTCAGTTCCGAGTGCACCTGGTGAAGATGGTCATCCTGACTCGGCCTGAGGTAGGCGCCACGCTGGAAGCCCAGGATCACTGAAAACCCATTTCTGCCCTCTTTAACCTCTTCCTGCGGATGCCCACAGAACAGCCGGGGTAAGAGCAGGGCTTCCAGCCAGCCAGACCCCGATCCAGATCCCAGCTCTGCCCCAGCACTCAGCACTGCTGGGCCTCAGTCTCCTCGCCTGTAACATGGGACAGTAAAGGGTTGTCATGAGGATTGACTGAGATGCCAGCAGCAGTCAGTCCCCCACTTGGTGTGCGTCCCATGAACGCTGGTTCTATTACTGCCCTCCCAGGATGCTCCAGATATCACAGCCAACATCACCTCGTCACTGATGAGCGTCTGTGAGTGGAGCAGGATGGTCAACCCCCAGGATGACACGGATCCCGGGCATGCCGACCTGGTCCTCTACATCACCAGGTAGCCGAGCTCCCCGAGGGCGTGCCAGCCTGCCTGGGAGCTGCTCCTGCTCTCGCAAGGTGGCCCGGCGGGCAGGCACCTCAGCACCGCCCAGGTGTCTGTTCTCTCTTCCCGAGGTTTGACCTGGAGTTGCCTGATGGTAACCGGCAGGTTCGGGGGGTCACCCAGCTGGGGGGCGCCTGCTCCTCCTCCTGGAGCTGCCTCATCACTGAGGATACCGGCTTTGACCTGGGGGTCACCATCGCCCATGAGATTGGGCACAGGTACGGGGCCCCACCAGCTGTCCCCAAGCAGGCCAAGGAGCTGACCTGGGACCCCAGGAGGGAAGGTGGAGGCTGGCAGTGGGCCCTGAGAGAGTCTACTGGAAGGAGCCTGTGCCCTTGACCCCAATGGCCTAGGAAGAGCGGGGGGCAAGGTCTGGGAAATCTGATACTTCTTGATTACCAAATAATTAAAAGAAACTTTTTTTTTCAAAAAATAAGTGAACAAACTTAGCAATTAGACAATAAGTTTTGTAAGAAATTCAGGTAAATAAAAAGCAGGCTGTAAAAATCATTCCAAATCCCATGACTTAGAGATAACATCTGTTCACATTCTGTACTTAATTTTAGTCTTTTCTTTACAGACACACATTTAATTTTTTATTTGCAAAAGTGGGATTATACTGTATATTGGTTTATTACCTGCTTTTTTATGTAACAATATATTCCAAACATTTCTCCCAGGTCTTTTGCAACGTTTTTTGTGTGTGTACCATAATTTATTTAATTAATCTCTATTGTTGGATATTTAGGTTGTTTCTGTATTTGCCCTGTTATGAACTATGCATTCTGTGGGCAAATCTTTGCTCCTAACTGTTAGCATTTACCTAAAGTGGTGAGTTTCTTTTAATTATGAAAGTCACACCCACCTGCTGTAAAATTAAAATAGCACAGAGACTCCTAAAGAACCGAGTCTCTCTTTTCCTCGCCCACAGCCCCCCTCGCACCCCCGGCGGTCTCAGCGGCTCTGAGCGCTGCGGTGGAATCGCGGGCGCCCCCCGTCTCCGCGGGTGGTCAAGCTCGGCATCCAAGGCTGGGGCTCCTTACCCCCACACCGGCCCACGACAGCTCCCCTTTTACTCCCTCTCCTGGGCCTCCACTCGATCTCTCCCCCACTCCCATCACAATTCCTCTATTTTGTTTGCAGGATAAAAAAAAGGTATTGAAAACGATGGCCAAAGGTCCGCACATTTTCTCAGCCTTTTTATTTAACTGTACTATACACGAAGTCGATGACTTCACACACTGAGCCAGCCCTCAGACCAAGAAAGCGATGGTTGGCGGCCCCCCCACGGGCCCTCGAGCCCCATCCTCCCCAGACTGATAACACCATGGATTAGTTTGGCCTGCACATTTTTAAGGCGTTTTAATATTTATTAGCCAAAAGAAGCGGGAGCCACCTGGCCGGCCCAGCGTTCCCTTGGGCGGGAAACTGAGGCAGGGCGGCCGTGCGACTCGCTCCACCCGCTGGGTTAGCTGGTGGCGGGGCCAGGGAGGGACTCGAGTCCGAAAGCTCGCCGCGCGCTGCGTCCCGAGGGCGGCCAGGCCGGGACGCGAGGGACCCGGCCCGGCCCGCGCTCAGC